AGGATGCAATAGAAAGTAAGTTACGGTTCCTAATTACTATTTGCAGACATAGATGAGTACTATAATGAACAGCCAATTAAATAGATATTTATTGATCAATCCTTATTAGTACGTACTGGGAGGGGAAATATGAATAAAGCACGTTTTTTATGTTCACAATGCTCATAGCCTGGTAAGAGAGACAAACAGATACAACTATAATACAGTGTAATAAGATGAATAATAAACAGATAAATGAGCAAAGGAACTCAATAAGCAAGAATGTGAAAATGATTGATCCTGCCTAGTGATTCAGAGGATGTTACAGAGAAAGGTAAATTGATGACTTAGTTTTGAAAGATGAGGAGAATTTTACCAGATAGAAAGGGGGAAAATGGGGTGTTTCAACCAGTGAGAACATGTGCTAAATGGATGCAAAGGCAAGAAATAAAGTAATGTGTTTAGAAAATGGTGAGTAGGTTGGGACATAGAACAGAAAGGTAGGTGATTTGACGAAAAGACAAAAAAGAGGAACATTCAAGAAGAGGTACTCAATAGCTGAATTTCTCAAAGTGTTTTTTTAGAGTTCAAGTAGAATAGACATTGAGCAAAAGTAACTAGATTTGGCTAGACTCAAACACCTTTTAGTTACAAATTTTTCTTCTATGATATCACTGAAAGCATTTTTCTCTATTTCCTAAATTGTTTCATTATAAGTATTAAATTATATAATATGCATTTGTTGTAAAATCTAAAATGCAGATGAGTACATAGTTATAAAAAATGAAATCATATTCTATGTTCTACAATCTTTGAAAATCTCATAATGCTTTTAATGATTGCTATCACAAAAAATTACAGCTGCTTAGACTTCCTCTAATCTTTAAATTAGAAATTCTATTGCATTTTCTGTCCTCTGTATCTATCATCTTTTTGTGTTTCATTTTGCTCCCTAACTTTTGCCTTCTTAGTGAATTTTAATTCAAAAGTTTGATTTCTTTAGAACATTCATTTATGAATAGTGTTCATTCTCTTTTATGACATCCTTTGCTGATGTTCATGTTGTCATTGTGTTTTTAAGCTTGTAGATTTTTCTGATTGTCTCAGACAATTTCTTCTTCATTTAATCCATCTCTTCATTTCCTTATTCATTCGTTCTTAGAGTTCATTGCAAACCCAAAAATGCTATCTATGTTTTATGTTTTTCTGAATATATTTTTTTACAAAAATATTTTTCCCTTACTATAATTCCCCTCTTTTATTATGTTTCATTTTTAAGTCTCCTGTTTGTTTGGATAGCTAGAAATAGCTATCCAGGCAAGATGTTTGCCAGGAAATAAATGGAGAAATCCCCTTCACTTTCTTTCTTTCTTTTTTTTTAAGATTTTATTTATTTATTTTTCAGAGAGAGAGAGAAAGCACAAGCAGGGGCAGCAGCAGGCAGAGGGAGAAGCAGGCTCCCGGAGAAGCAGGCTCCCCGCGAAGCAAGGAGCCTGATGCGGGAGTTGATCCCAGGTCCTGGGATCATGACCTGAGCTGAAGGCTGATGCTTAACTGGCTGAGCCATCCAGGCATCCCTCCCCTTCACTTTCCATGTGCTATAATCCTTCTCTCCATCCAACTATTCTGATATCCATCCAGTATTTATCTAGGGCAAACGTGGAATACAAAACCTGTAGCTCTAGTTTTATCAGAAATAGGATTGATTTCCTCCCATCTCATTCCATGAAGTTGAAATTTGATTTTAGAATTTAACATTTATCCTTATCAAATTTCTTCTTGTTTCGTTTAGTCTATTTAAGAATGCTTCAGTGTTGATTTTGTTGTCCAGTATACTTGTTATCCCTCTCAGTTTCCTGTGATTTAAAAATCTGCTAAAAGTGAGTTTTTTCATAAATTTGGAACTCTGTTTCACATCTTACTAAAAAGAACTTTATGCACATTTAGTGCCTTTTTCCTTGCAACTATGCATTTTGAGGACAAGTATTGTATCTATTTTATTTAAGATCTATTCCCAGCACCTGACATATCTGTCATTTAGTAGCACATAATACAGTGTCAAATAAGTGACCGATAGTGTGTGGCATTATTGCTTTATATGGTACCCAAATGTGGAAAAAAAAAATGGGTTTTGGGGAAAAGATTTTGCACAGCTTTCTTCTCCATATTAAAGAATTTTGTGACTAGTAGTATCATGACACTGTCTGAAGGATAAAGGGCACACATGGAACTCTCATACATTTCTGGTGGGAGTATAAAGTGGAACATACTCTTCCAAATGCTGTTTTTCAGAATTTAATGAAGCCAAAGTTATGTGTTGCCTATTACTTGGCAATATCACTCCTGAGTTTATACCCAAGGGATATGAATACATATATCCACCAAAAGACACGCACAAGAATGTTTTTAGCAGTGTTCTTTATAATAGCCCCAAACTGAAAACAATTCAGCATCCATAGGACATAATATATTTGGATAGTGGAATAGTATACATCCACAAAAAAGAATAAACAATTGACATATACAACAACTGGGATTAATCTCACAGAGGACATGTGAGAAAGCAAGCTACAAGAGAGCATATAGTGTATGTTCTGTTTTTATGAATTTCAAGAACAGACAAAACTATTACCTTTCACCTGTTGTAGGGTGTCCATTAGTACCAACAGGGAGAGCCACTGGTGCTAGAAATGTTCTCATTCTGAGTGGTGATTGCACAGGGAGACACATGTATGTGCATGTCAAAAGTCTTCAAGCTATATGATTAAGAATTTTGTGTTTTACTATAAGCAAGATATACTTCAATTTAAAAACTAAAAGGCAAAATAAACACATTTCCAAGCAAAACAGAAAGGAAGAAAGGATTTGTAGTTGAACATTTTGAAAGCAGAATGGGTATCACAATACTTAATTTCAGGGCTAATGTGGTAATTAGAGATAATGTATGTGAAGTGTCTGGGCCAAGTCTGGCATTTTTTATAGGATAAATAATTTGCAGATACACATATATCCTAGGCCAGTGCCTCTCAAGCTTTAATGAACATACAGATCACCTAGAAATCTTGTTAAAATGCAGAATCTGACTCTAGGTCTGAGATGAGGCCTGAACTCCTATATTTTTGAAATTCCAGTGTTTCTTACCCACAGACCATAGTTTAAGTAGCACTGGAGTGGAATGGAGGTGAACGGGGTTTATCGGCGGGGGAAACATCTTGATCAAATCCGTGTTTAAAAGGTATTTCAGCTAGCAATTCACAGGATACACTAGAGGAGGAAAAAATGACAGATCCAAGAGAGAGACAATATATCCTTAAATGAGGAAAGGAGAAGGGGAAATGAAAAGTGGGAAAAGAGAAACATTTTGCAGAATCATCAAGACATGGCACTTCATTGAATTTTATTTATTTATTTATTTTTAAAGATTTTATTTATTTGACAGACACAGCAAGAGAGGGAACACAAGCAGGGGGAGTGGGTGAGGGAGAAGAAGGCTTCTGGCTGAGCAAGGAGCCCAATGCAGGGCTTGATCCCAGGACTCTGGGATTATGACCTGAGCTGAAGGCAGACACTTAATGACTGAGCCACCCAGGCGCCCCGGCACTTCATTGAATTTTAGAAGTGATGACAGAAAGTCATCAAAGACAGCTTGAGAAATTTCACTTCAATGATCAGATAAATATGCCTCCATTGTAATTATTTTATCAGATCCTTTTGATTAAAATTGAGCTCAAGAGGAATGATCTCAAAAAACTTTTTGGGGGTCATGCTAGCAGAGAATGAACCAAGGTGAAGCCATAGAGCGGGCAGTTTAAGGATAGTTGCATGAAAGAGGAAACTAAAGATAAAGGGTTGTATGAGTTAGCTTTGCTGGAGTAACAAATAATCCTAAAAGTTCCATTGGCTTACAACAAAGGTGTTTGTGTCTCTGCTTGGTTCTGCTCCACATGCTTTCATTCCAGGATGTAGACTGAAGGAGCACGCTCACTTAGGAGCAAGAAAGATGGAGGACACATGCAATGGATCTTAAAGCTTCTGCCCAAATGTGCCATTTTGTAAACCAAGTCACACTAATAGGCCTGGTGTCAGTGAGGTGGGAACAAACACTTGTCCCACAGGGGCCACTGCAGGTCACATGGTCACAGACATGGAGTTGAATCCTCTTACAGGAAGCAGTAGGGACCAGTTCAAACAATAATGCAGTCTACCACAGCAGAGTCCAAGCCCCTCTGTATCCCCTTCATGCCAATAACCAACTCTAGCTCTGGATTTTTTTTTTTTTTTAGTTTAACAGTTAAATATTCTCAGCATAAAAAAAGCATATTCTCAGCATAAAACCTTTCGTTAAAATGAGGCAAATGGACAGATTTCAATTTCCTCTCTTAATGAGCACTTAAATATTCAAAACTCTACAGGGGAGGGGAGGCGGAGAAGCCAGGGGGTGTGGAAGAGAAACCATTACTAGATAATCAGCCTTGGAGTAATCAAGAATTGGCTGAATTCTCTCCTGACCTTTGCTATATTTAGTAGGTGTCTTAACAGAATGGTTGAGCTGTTAGGTGACCCAATCCCTGCGTGCTCACATTACTTAAGATGTTCATGCTCTTTTAATGGGAGAATGAGAATACTAGGGTTTTAATTTTCTAGGAATCCTCAGTACATGAAATTTATACATCTTAAAGGAAAATTAAGCATAGATAACCCACTAAAGCCCAGGAATTACTTAAACTTTCAAAACTTCCAGGTTGTGTCCGTTGACGTTCAGTGCATTGATAAGCTAAACACCAATTACACCAGTCAGTCCAAAGAAGAGGTTTTTGCCTAATTACCTGGCTATTTCTCATAAAACAATTGACATAAATTTGATGATTTGCAAAGTTGCCCACTTTGGTTCGAAACCGTTCTCTGCCTCTCCATGCAGGATCGAAACACGGTTTCTGAATGTTTTGCTTTTCCAAACCAGGGATAAACCTACGATCATGCATGTCTCATTTCTTTTATTTTTCAATCACTGTTCTTAACAGGACAAGAGCATGATTCAACGAAGAATGAAATAAAAATTGAGGCAGACTCCCAGAGCTCATATATGGAAACAGAAGGTATTGAAACCAGAATGCCTTGTTATCTGAGAATGAGATGAAACTGTGAACCATGACTTCTGTCTATCCTGGTGTTTGTGAGTAGTGTGCGTGTGTGTTTTAGGCACTAATTATCAGAGCATGGCAATAGTGTTCTGCTCTGTGTGCCTCTTAAAACTCGGAGGGGAAAAAAAAGGAACTTTAACTTTCTCTGCTTTAGTCACTGTGTTTTCTCACTGATTCCGATGAAAACATACCTGAGTCTCCTTCTGTCTTGACATTCTATTTAGAGCTCTCACCAAACCAGGAAGATGACACGATTGTGGAGCAACCAGAAGTGATCCCTCTAACAGATGACCAAGAAGACAAAGAAGGTGAAAAAGGTAGGACTGCTCTTAAATTAACCCATCAAGAATAAAGAGTTTCCTGGGATTCCCACCTAGAATGCAACCGTCAGTTACCCTCCTGCAATAGCAGTCCGTAAAGAGGGAAAATGAGCATTTCTTTCATCCTGAACCTACTTGCGAGAGTAGAACAAAATCTAGAACAAAATCTACAAAAGAAGATACTTGTAATTTTTGCCCTTCCGTAGTTTGAAGATGTTTTTTATTATTTGTTTCAATTTAATTTTATTTAAAAATCATGAAATACAAAAATTATAGTATTGAGAAAGCCTATAAGGAATTGAAATTATGGACTAGATGGATCTAGACCAATAAGAGTTTTAGAAAGTCCGAGATGGCTTTAAAACACAAAGATAAGACTTTCTGTATTGATTTCCTTCTGTCGTCCTTCATATGGTAGTGATTAAGGAAGCAATTTATGTAAAATATACACATTACATGAACCTTCTAAATTGCATGCTTTGTCCACTAATATTAGGATGCAGTAATATTGAATACTGTTAAAAAAATAAGTGAGCATTATAATGATTTCTGAAGACATAGGAGGAACGAACACTGCATAAATTTTAAAGAAGTATTTGGGGCATCAAGCCAATATATTGGAGTAAAGACAGGCATTCTTTTAAAATATCTATATTAAAAAACTATTATCAAAGAAATTTAGTATTTATTGAAGAACTTGATGAGTTCCATTTTAAAATATAAAGCAATCTCTCTTAAGAGAAGCTCAAATATGAAATAAAAAATGAAATCATTTGTCTGGTATACTATATCATAAATCATGCTGCTCTTAAATAAGTTTGTGTTTGCAAAGTAATAACTTGACAGGCCTTGTTTATAGAACACAGTGATCAATTTTGTTTCCAAATTAAAATGCAGACATGATCTCAATAGTAAAATCAGGTCAATAGTAACTACAGCTTCCAAATTATGAACTCTTCTTGGCCGGGGCATTGACACAGTTTAATTACTAAGCCATGTTAGTGATTTCAACATCTTCTTTAAAATTTCCATTGCATTTAGAACACAATATTCTTCCATCTCTCTGTTTCTAATAGCCTTTTCTCCATTTCCCTGCAAATCCTAGTTCAGGCTCATGATACCGTGTTCCCAGCAAGTCAAGTAAATGGCGTATCTGGAGTATTTTATGTCTGATGATGTAACAGAGAATTGATAGGACCCTGACTTCAGACACAGATACATTGCATACATGGCATTGCTCTCTTCAGTTGTGCTTCTAACATGTAAAACACACAATGTCTTGCCTGCCTATTTACTTTCTCTATAGCAGAAATTATTTACTTTGTATATTGTGCCCCAAGACATGCAAATGAGGAACATCAAACAACGGGTACATTTTCTTCCTTTTGACTTGACCTACAAGGGAAAAGCTGGCATTCCGCACTCACTGACTTGGTGTCCCTTCTTGCAGTAGTTCTCCAGCATCTAGCCCTCCTCTAAATACCCACGTCCCTCTCCCTTGCAGGGATGCCAATCCTCTATAGAACATGGCAGAATGGCTCATGAGAAAGAAGTGAAGTCAAAGTCGGCTACTTGCTTGTAGCAACTTTGAAGTTGGATTTCTTTCTTCAAATGTGACTTTTCACTGCAGGAGAGTAATAATGCCTGTGGCTTTGAATAAACAAAATTTTCCCTCCCCTTCTTTCTGGCAGATACTTAACTTGGCCCTGGCTTGCATATTCCTGTTTAAATTTGAAATAACTTAAAATGCATCCCCTTCTCATCTTATTCTTTGCTTCAAAGTAAGAGTGAATAGCTAGCCCATGACAGATAAGGGAAGTCACAGGAGGAGAGTGGGGTGATGTAGATTCAGGACACTGTGGAGTAGCTCTTCCCCACATTGACGTGCTGAGTGGCTGCGGGCAAGTTCTTTCAACTTTCAATGCCTCAGTGTCCTCCTCTGTAAGATGGTGATGACAAAATCACTTGTCACGTACAGTTGTGGAGAAACTTTAATGAGTTGACACATGTACAGAAATCACAGTACCTGCCACATAGAAAGCACTCATTGTTTAGTATTCCTCACACTTCAATAAATTGACGACCAAGTCGAGAGAATGCACATGTGGAGTTGCTCAAGTCCATTTATGGTCCTTCCTAACTATTTTGAATCCATCAAAACTTCACATTTTCCACCTTTTCCTTCAACAAAAAAAAAATTGTTTTGCACATTTCCTTTTCAACACCGAATTCTGCAGGCGGTTTCGATATGTATGTTCTTTTCTATAAAGACAGAACAATTAATGAAAGGTGAAGTGGGAGGCATTTCTCGCTCTTCAGAAACTCCTTTTTCTTTGTCAAGATGTCAATCTTCTATTTGGGAAATGCTGATCCAACCATAATTTCTATTTTTAAAAGAAGATGCCATTGATCTATTGGCAGATCCATGGCATAAAAGTACTAAATAAATCAAATAAGGACTTTTTTTTTTTTGCTTTATTTAGGCTCATGGAGTTATTAGAATCTTGTTTGAAAGCATTTTGAGAATATAGCTCCAGGTTTTGTGTATATTCAGTGTATTTTAATGGAAAGTTGCACAAACATCTTAAAAATTACTCTTACCTGCAAATGAAAACAAATGAATATTCTATTACATTTGTAGGGATATTCTTTATAGCTTTAAAAATATTGGTTCTCTTTTATTTTGAGAATCCAAGGAGACAGAAGGTGGTTGCTTTCAAAAAATTTCAGACCAGGAAAAAAATGTATAAACTTGTTCTCTCATTTTGTAGCATTCTATAAGATTAGAAAATGTAGATAATCTTCAGGATACATCTTCTATGGCTCCCAGGTGTATGGGCACAGATGTTGCAACATTAAGTTTTGAAGTTAGCTCTACCAAAATACGGGTTTTGAAAAGAAGAGAAAATATTCAGCAGAAGTTCATGCTGATAAAATTATACAATAGCACAATGGACATATCCCTGGGAGATCTGAAATACAAAAATTTCAACAGGCATAAAGTGAGGTTTCACATATGGCAGCTTTTCTCATAGAGTCACACTGCCTCTTCCTAAATGAGTCCAGTTTTATGCTTTCCCAGCAGGATCTGTGGCTCATATGAAATCCAGTAAAATAGCGCCATTTAGGCTGATAACCTAATAGGAAAGTAATATTATAGGAGATCTCCTCAAAATATGATCTCCTGTTTTAGCATAAAAGAGAAAGCCAGTATTAAGACATTTTTCTGAAGATTTTTATTTCTAGTTGAATTTAGAAATAGTTGAAATAAAATCTGAATTATATTAAAATCATGTCATTATTATATCACATGATTTTCATGTATGACTTATTAGGAATATATTGGATTTTTTCTTGAAGTGTTACATAGAAGGCATATATCCCAATTATTTTTCTTGTATTTCTTCAAGTGTTACATAGAAGACATACATCCCAATTATTTTTCTTGTATCAATGGATAAGTATAATATGAAATAGTAATTCTTTATTTATCTCAGGTTGACTAAAATGTTACTGGAAACTTAAGGTCTATATTATGGTCTAAGACTTTCTTGGGAAAAGATGGATGTAGACAGGTATACAAGTAGAAAGTGAGCTAAAAGGCCACAACAAGTATAAATTATCATGTTGCAAGGCTAGTGTTTTGGCCTCTGACGAGCAGGGCCATGGAACAAAGTGTCCATGGTTCTGACTCTGGCTGCGTGGTTCCTGGCGATTCTTTACCTTCTAGGAATCCCATTTTCTGGGTTTGCACAATGAGAGGCATGAACTCAATAATGCAATTTCACAAATATTCTTAGAAGGCCAAAGAACCGCATTCTTGATAAAACAAGGGGAGGCAACACGGGAGCCAGTGATCACCAATATGTTGAGAAAGCCGAAATTACAGGTTTTACTCAGTTTCACTTACTGCATTCTATCGATAAAAATGCAGAGGTGCCCTAGACCAGACAAAAAGATCAGCCAAATCAACCATATTTTATTTCAGAAGTCAACCAGTAATTGGGTGGCTGATTATTCCAAGAGTCTTTCAATGGGGAGACAATGTTTTTCGCCTCCAAGTAGGTTTACACCCAAATTCTACTAAGAACCAGCCTGGCTTTCCATCACCATCTTTCTTATCCACATGGGAAGCATCCTTTCTCGAGCCTCCTCTGGCCACCGTTGGATCTTTCAGCGAACACATAGTTAGTGAACCACTTTCTCTTCTGCTCCTACCCGTCAAATCCAATAGGGATTCATTTTGTCTACAAAGCACCACTACCCAGCCCTTGGTGTTTTCCACTATTGATGGGATTCTTACATCACTGACAGAGCCCTCTCCTCTCTACTTGAAAAGCAGCCTCAACACCGGCCATGCAGCAACACACAACCTCCGTAGCAGGCAGGCTTTCCTCCTCCAGACTGTGCTCTTTGTTTCAGAGAATCCTAGTTCAGACATATTTTTTTGATTCATACAAAATATTATATGAACTTAGCCCTAGCGCAATTAACTTCCTGGGACTTTCTATTTTCAGAAAGTCTTTTTATCTCATCTTTTCAAATGAAGTCAACATTCATAATGCTGTGTTTTTCACGTTAACAGCACTACAGTTTAGTTGGGTGGGGTGTGCAGTTTCATGTTCAGATAGTTTCTTCTGTTATTGGTCTTCTGTCCTAACTGTGTGGTGTAGCTGGAATTTGTCAACCCAAATTTGGTTTTAGAATATAAGATAAATTCATCATGCTGGTCCCTTCTAAGGTTTTATGAATATTTTTAAGTGTTTAATGAAATTCCTTGTATTGGTTAGATTGAACATAAAAATTCCAACCTTTTAAACTGAATTACTTAGGTTTTCTGCACATCTGTATGTAGGCAATATATATATATAGAACCAGTTCATTCAAATTACACTGTCTAACAAGTAAAATTACAATTTTTATATTTACAATGACATGACTTTTTAAAATTCATTTTTGGCATGCTAATCTTCTTCATGTTTCTTCTTCAAATAAAA